GAAGATACCATGGGGCCACCAGTCACAGGGATGGAGGGAAACCCCACAAAACTCCAGGCCACCACTAGATGTTCTCCTAACACCCTGCTGGGGGGAGCTCCTCGGTTCATTTCCTTAAAGCCCTGGGGTAGCTCTCCCAGCCCTTTCCCCATCTGAGGAAGGTGTTCTCAACTCTCTTGTAGCTACATCTTATTTCCAAAAACCCGTGGCTTCATGCTTCACCTCCCAGGACAACTGATAATGCCTGTCCACCTGCCCAGTATCTATTTCCAAGCTCCTCCTTATCATTTTCATCTCTGAGGAGAAGCTAACAAATCCAGTGGTGACTCCATCCAGATCCACCCTGGTGAACCTTCAGCCCAGTCTGCTCCTCACATCAGCTCTGCAGGCCCTGCCAGTGAAGGTGCCATCCCCATTTGCCAGTCCCTCCTCTGGCAGACTGATCCCTATTCCCCATCACAGCAACCACTTTACTGAGGAGAGTATTTTCATCTGCACTGTTATTCTGACCTTGCACGTCCCTTGCATGTTCTTGCAGGAAGAGCAGCTCAAAGACTGCTCTTCCTACATCAACCTTTCTTTTAGACCCATTCCCTTCCTGCCAATGCCTTCTTTCATGACAAATTCACTCTCCTTCTCTTCTCCTGTCTCCTTAACTTCTCCTTGCAGTCAGATTCTCCTCCTACCTTTACCTCAGTAACTCCTACTTTTGCCTATAGCGTCACCATTCTGGGGCTTTTCTCATCTTGCCTACACTAATAATTGCCACACCTCCTTCACCATCCCTGCCTTCAGCAGCACAAAATTCTTCCCCCCCAACTTTTCATCCCAAATGCCATGGCTATAGAAACCCCCTTTACCTCCCTTCACCAGCCCACTCTTCCTGCCTTTTCTTTTTGTGCCTACTCAGGCTGTAATACCTACAAGTTTTGTCCTGACTTCCTGGACACGGCAAAATGATGACTCTTCTCCACCCTTATATTCCTTACTGTTCTCAAGGCTCACTCTGACCCTCTCCACACCCCGTAATGCAGCTTCTATGGGATTCTGGTCTCTCTCTGCCTCAGCAGCCCTCTGCCTGTACATGGAGGATGCTTTCACCTGACTCAAGATTTCCATTATGTTCCCCTCGTCCATTCCAGGCTCTGCAGCCAGAACCAAGGACTTCTCCACCTGGGTGAGTCCTGAGTGGACTTGGCTATCCTGCAATGGCTTGGGAGCTGGGAGACAGGAGCTGGGACTGTGCTGCTGGACACTGCCCTGCCATGTTCTGCAGCAGCTCCTAGAGTGGGAGGCTCTGGCCCATGGTGTTTCTCTCCCCATACACACTCACTGTTACTGTCTCATACCCTCCTTCTTTCCTCCTTCTGGAAAGACATTCCCACCACAACAGCTTGTTTCACAGCCACCTTCTCTCAACCCAGATACTACAGATGATGTTTCATTTTTCATTACTGTAACAACGATGTGACTCAGGAGCAGTTTCACTTGTCAATATTCATGTGTATCAACAGATCAGCAAAACTGTTCTTGAAACCTCCTAAAACTAAAGGTTTTCTCATGAGCATTCAGGTCTTTCTTGTTTTCATCCTTCCAGATCTGACACAAAATAATAGCCTGAACACACAAAAAAATATTTGTATTTGACTGAATTCTGGTGTACCAAAGCAAAGCAGAACAACTCATGAATAAGCTGTAGATGGCCAGCACAATGGGTATGAGGCAAGCAGATCTGCTTTTGCTTATCTCCTGTCTTTGAGGAAGAAGGGTGACATCAGAAGCTGAAAAAAAAAATACTGTCAAATGTGGGTTGCCCACATTTTCAGAGAGGGCCATAGAGGGCTGGTTAGAGCAGCAACAGCAAATACTGCCAAGAATGTGTGTCATGCAACTCCACACACAGACAGCAGATTGCTGACTGAATGATGAAAGCACTGAATGATGAAAAAAGAGAACTTGTGGTCAATTATATAGGTGCTAGAAGGGCCAGTAAGAAATGAGAGGAACAGAAAGTTACTTGTGATGGAACTTGATGCAGCTGATGTCACGGAAGCTCAGTGAGATGACTGTCTGATACTGAAATAAAACTGTTGATTAGGAAGGGCAGACTGGGGGCAGTTCTGTTTAGCACCACTGTGGAGTTGTGAGCTGCTGGGTCAGATTTACAAGATCTGACCCAGCAGCAGAACAGGGAGAGTATCTGCAGAATGATCTGCTACAGACCACCAGACAAAGTCACAGAGTCAAAAGGCAGGATGATTGTTCTTTAAACCCATTATTCATTTAACCCTCATCCAATTTGTGGACAGAAGAGTTCTGTATGCACACAATGCTCCACGTGGGAGACACATGCTAGAGATGTAGATAGCCAATAGAAAAATAGCATTTGAGTGAATTCTTTAACCCATGAGGTCACACCCATGATGAGGGTGTTCATTGCAACATACCTTGGTGAACCAAATTCTGGGTAGAAAGTTTGTTGACCTCTGAATGCCAGGCATCATTGTGACCTGATTGTAACCTGATTATTTGTCTGCCCTAAACATTCAGCATTAAAAAGGTACATTCTCTAGCTCAAAGGAAAATTACTATCCAGATTCACTGCTAGACAAAATGTGGGTAGAAAAACCCAAATGAAAGTTCAGGCCTTTGATGAAGGGCTTATCAGATGGTCAAAAAGTCAGGATTTCCAAGTCAAGAGTGCAAACAGATCACACTTAAAATCTCATCCTGGTTCAGCAGCAAAGTGAAGGAATCAATGTGAAATTGAAAAGCAATCACAGCTGTGAAAGGGGGAAACAGTTGCCAGTTAACTTAAATTGAAGTAACTGAGAGAAATTAGTAAGTAAAATTAGAACTATATAGAAACACCTCAGAACAGAGCAAAGAAAGTAGTTTTTCTTCTACTAAGAACAAAAGGAGCTTAAAAATAGTGCAGGAATACCACTAAAGACTGGTAGTAAAATGGATGGAAATTTAAAAAAGAAAAGTACTAAATAGATATTTGTCCGTATTCAGAAAGAAGTAAGAACATGTGCACGTACAACACAAGGTTTCTGATGGACATTTTTGCTCAGTTGCATCAAGAGTCTCATAAGCAAGATCTACGAGGGAAAAATATTTTAAATAAGCACTATGGATAATCAGTATTCCCAGAAGAGATGACATAATCTCTCTCCCACTTCCATTTGAAGAAGTGCTCACAGTGTATCAATACTCCAAATGGGTAAACAGGATGAACTGGGTAAGTAGTCAAAGAGAAATGAATAGGAAATGGTAATTGGCATCTTACAAAGAATTACTTGCCAAACTGAGTTACTATTTTGATGAGTTTGGCCCAGACATGACAGATTCAGGGTTTTCCAGGGAACCCTGTACCAGGGAACAATGCTGTGCCCTGTAAAGCACTAAAAGTTATCCCATAATTGATGTGAGAGCTGGAGAAGTGAGAGATTGCACACACTAATGAATGGCACAGCACAGGGTCCCAGTACAGCACTATGAGAAAAGGGAATAAAGGAACCGTGAGCGTGTATATGGTGTTAGAGGTAGGCAGAGGTGTAGGGAAATCATTTCCATGCTCATGCATAGCAGTAGAAAGACCACTGCTGAAACAGCCCCTGACATGCAGACTCGTGGAGTGAGGCAGCAGCTGTGGGGAGAGGACACTGGGAGCTCCCCCCATTACACTGCTCCTCCCCAGGAGCTGCTTTGAGGCATCACTGGAGGCTGGATTTCAAACTAGGCAAACCTTTGGCTTCCCAGGAAAGCCACTCTTGCTGCCTTCTGTTGTTTGCACACTGCCCATGTGTGCACTCTTCAAAGGAATCTGAAAAGAGGAAACAATGAACTACCTGCAATAGCAACCTGCAAAGACCAGAGCAAACATCACCCTGTATGAGGTTCAGGACTCACTCTGCTCTTTGGTCTTTTATTTGCTTTATCCATCACATGAAATCTCTTCTCAGTTTACTGTGACTGCATGTAGGCTAACTGCACAAACGTTTTCACAAAACACCACTTGCTCTTGAGTTCCTATCACCACAGGCTTCTAACTGTGCCAGCACAGGTCTGGCCTTGAGCATGACCTTTGGCAGGGTGCATGTGCAGCAGGCATGTTTCAGACCCAGCTGTCAGGGCTGCTTTTCCATTTGATCCATTACAGTTGTCTGTTAAAAGACAAAAATAGTCTCAGCACCAGCAACTGTGACTTCCTTCTGAGAGCTGAGTTCCCAGCCACAGTCAGTTCCCCAACTGCTTCCCTTCTGAAACATAGATGTATTTTCCACATATTTGACCTGCTTTCAGTGGGAGAAGTACAGGCCTCACCACCCCTCCTCTCTTCATCATGCCCTTTCTCCAGAGCAACCCAGATCCTCATAGGAACCCACAGGAACCTGACATTGGCTGGGGAGTCATGGAATCATAGATATATATATATATCTAGCTGTTTGCTGGACATTTTGTCCAGAAGGATCCTGCGAGAGACAATGTCAAAAGTTTTACTGGAATCCAAAATGATTATATCAACTGGTTTCCCTTGATCAAAGATTATTATTATGACAGACTACCTTGTATTAAAAAAAAAAAAGAAGTTGGTTGAGCAGGACTTTCCCTCACAAACCTTGTCTTCCAAGTGTTCTTCAACAACTCACAGATTAGTCTCCATAATTTTACCAGGCACTAAAGTGAGACTGCTGAGGTGCTTTACTGCTCAGCACCGGCACGTAGGAAGACTAATCTGTTGGTATCTAGGGACCACAGATGACAAAAAGTGTGATTGCTAAGGAGAGGAAACAGACTGTGGGTTAAATGTGGTCTGGAAAAGGGGAGGGTTCATGGTAAGTGTCTGCCATTCTGTGAAGTTATGCCCTTTTTTGTACCTTGAATTTACATTGAAGAAAACACCAGGAACTAAAGACTGCTTTGCTTTAGGTGGGAAGGTTGAAATAGGTGTGTTCCTTATGTATTAAGCAGGTGTATTCCTTTTACATCAACAGCACACTGTCTTCTGCTGGGTCCAGACTGGAAGAAAGGAGAGATTTCATCAGTGCTCTTTGATAACTGGGACAAAACACCAAAAGCATCATGGGACTGGTGGGCTCTCCATCCTTTGAATCTCCAGAGCAAGGCTGCCCATCTCTGCAGGAGATGCTTTAACCCAGCAGACTCAGCAGCCACACACAGGCAGAGATCTCCCAGTCACAGACCTGGCCCACTGCTCCACACGCTGGAAACCCAGGGGAGGTTTGGTGAGAAGGGGATTGTTTGGGCTGGTTTTTCTTTTGAACCCTATAATAACACTGCTCACACCTAGTTGTGCACACTCTTTAAAGAGCTGGGATTCCCCCTTCTGATAGCAGCTACACAGCAGTCACGCTTTTCTTTAATCTCCACCAAACTATTATTTCAACATACCACCCACACAAACAGATGAAAAAGCACTGGTAGAAAGGTGTTGTTGTTTTGCTCTTTCCTTCTCAGAAGAAAACCAAGGCTTAGAAGAACAGCACAGAGTCCATCTCTGTATGTACTAACTCCTCCTTTCCGTCTGGAATTTCCCATCAGTTATACCATAAACAAACTCCCTTCAAATATGCTAAAATAAAGTGAACTGAAATTCAGTAGCAGACACAGAATTAGGGACTACTTGTAATCTGGTGGTTACCAAAGAAAGATCAAAAACTGATAGAATCTGATTTTTCATTTTAGACTATTTAAATTTCATATTCAATAAAGTAATAATTCACTTTATAAATTAGGTTGCATTTGAATACAGCTTTTCATTCAATTTTGTGATTGAGCTTGATAAGGCTTTTAACTACAAGAGGTTGATCCTTCATTTCCAAATAATGGATAATACTTTGAAGAGCAAATACCAGCATGTTATTGCCATTTTTTGAAGAGCAAATACCAGCATGTTATTGCCATTTTTCAAAAGGATTCAGACATCATAACAGATTTATTTTTTTTTTTGTTCTATCACTGATGTTTCTACTAAGACTCCCTCTAGCAGGAGACACAAGATGGTGTCCTAACAGAAAATGTCGTTGCTGGGAAAAAGGGCACAAATCTTAGATTACCACGACAGGTTCGTAATTTTTTTACAACTAACACTGTAAAGGAATCAGAGAACTATCACAGACAACACCAGAAGGTATGTTTTTTTATAAACAGTACAGCAGATTTTACTTTCTCCTCCTGTTTTTCTGCCTTTAGATTGCTAAAAAGCTTTTTGGAGCAACCTGTTTTCCTGGTCTTTAAAGAAGTCCTGAGCAAAGGGCCTGCCTGGCTGTGCAATGTCAGGTTTCTCCACAGCACCCAAAACCAGGTATAGGACACCAGTGGCTGCTCCTGCAGCTACCTGCAGACATTCACATCCATGTCTCTGCAGAAGACATGAGCTTGTCATTGCCCAGAGCCCTCACTGACATCTAGGCATGTATCTCAAACATCTTGAAACCAAGCAGAGAAAAGACACTCATTCTTTCTGGGCCATCTTTCTTCTTCTGTCCTCATAGCCCTTTCCTCCTGTTCCTGAAAGTGCCAGGATGTCACCCAAGCTGATCAGACAGGAAAGTGCCTCTGCAGAAGAATGGGAGATATATTTTATGGGTGTGCTTGCATTTCTGTGTTCTTTGGTGCTTGGCAGCATAACAAGACACCTTTTATTTTCACCCATGTATTTGCTGTGTGCATTCCATAAGCTGCACCTCCAGGGTGTAGCTGGCCTGCAGCCTGGCTTTCTCCTGCCAGTGATCCTGTTTTCCTGGGACCTGAGCAGTGATGCTGGCATAGCACACCAGGACACTTTCATTCAGTCAGGTCAGTGGGAGCATTGCCATTTGGTTCTGGAAAATTGTGGGATTTTCATGTCTCATTGTATGTAGATATCTATAGTTGGTTGTTTGCTTTTTTAAAATTTGCTATAATAACTGGGCCTCTTACAGTATCTTTTTGCCACTTCATCTCAAAATATATGCAAAGGAAGTCTTTAAAAGAATTCACAGAAATTCTAAAAACTAAAGAAAAACTAAAAAGAAAACTAAAAACTAAAGGAAAACTAAAAGAAAACTAAAACTCAAGACAGAAATGAGATTAATGAAAAGAGACCACAAGATGAGTCCAGAACTGAGCTGTATCTATTTTCTTCCCATTACTTGACAGCACACACTACCAAAGCTGGCAGAGAATTATAAAATATTTGCATTTCTTAAAATGTTGAAACCTGCAGGTTTGGCTGAGCAGAATTTTCACGCAAAAACATCCTACATCTGGGTAGCCTGGAGTACACAGAGTTGTGGTGTCAAAGTCCACCTGCTTCCACTCTACAAACTCACTCCAGAAAAGTTACCACAGGTATCACTCTCACGCACCACAGATAGACAGACAGACAGACAGACAGATTTTCCATCCCCAGTGTCACGTGTTAAAATGTGCCTGTGCCACCCCAGCACCAGGTGAAGCTGTCTTTCCATGAGTAATTTGATTTACAAAATGATTGAAGCTGCTAGTGTCAAGAGAAAAGATGATGGAAGGGATGATTTTTAATGCTGAAGAATCTTTCCAATTAATATGGTTGCTTCGCAAATGAACCTTCAAAAAGTACATTCCCAGCACCAAGGAGGGCATAGAAATCATGCCTGAAAAATTAGGCTGTAAATTCAGTGTTTAAGTGAAAGCAAACTGCTGAACAAATAACAAAATCCCAGATGCCTATAAGAAGACCAATTTATAGCAAGATACATTTATGCTGGGAAAAATGTGCCAGAGCTCAAAAGTCAGTGTTTTCAAGGGTGATTTCCAGTAGATTTTTCTTTTGTCTGTTCCATATTATGATGCAGTAAGAGGATCTGAAAAACTGGTGGGAAAGGAGGGGGGAAAGCTTGAGTTTTCTTTCTCCTTGTGGTGTATACATATCTAGAAATCTCACAGAAGACCATACTTTTTTTTCAGACTGTATCAGGGAATTTATCTGAGAAAAAACGAAGCAAATATCTCCAAATACGTGCCCCACTAAATCTTTCACTTTAGTTTCCCCACTAAATCTTTCACTTTAGTTTGAGGCTTAATATAATAGTTTCACCAGGTAATTTCTTTTCTTCAAAACATTGAGTTGCTTATAACAGTACATTTTTTGAACTCATCACTGAAAGTGCTCAGAAAATGTGTGGTTGTGGAACTTAGGGACATAGTTTGGTGGTAAACTTGGCAGAGCTGGGTTAACAGTTGGACTGGATGATCCTAGAGGTCTTTTCCAACCTAAATGATTCCAGCAGAGACTGGAAGGGGTCTTTCACAGCCACCAGCACCCCCAAAGACTCAGAGGAGATTCCTCAAAAACGACATCAGAGGTAACCATCCAGCTGCAGGAGATGGTTCCATGGCCTGGCCACTGCAAAATGGAATCATCATCCAGCTCACCAACCACACATGAGCCTCAGTTTCCCCACTGGAGGTCAGTGACATAAAGGAAATGGATCAAATGAAGAAACAAGTAACTGTAAAATAGAGACTGCCCAGGTCTGTCAGCTCCCCCACTGAGGTGCAGACAGGTCGACCACAAAAAGTCTGGCAAAGGCTCACAAAAATCACTTGTGCACAGCATTTCTGCAGAGAGACCTGCTGCTGGCAGGAGTGTGTGTCCTACTGCTTGCTGAGGCTCATGTCAAGGGAGGGTTCACCCCAAAGGAAGCCAGAGACCTCTGAAGTCTTCCCTTTCTTGAGAAAGTCTGAGCAACAGAGCACAGGGCTCACAACTCTAACCTCTGTGACTACTCCATCACACAGCTGAAGCTCAGATCAGTGGCTCAGGACCTGGTTTGCTCTAGGTAAGATCTGGTGTGCCCAGAGTGATTCCAGCTGTATACATCAGGGAATTCTCAGTGCAGAAGGACCCCAAGATGATGCAAGTTGCACATTTTGATAAAGAGAGACATCTTTTTCAACAAAAGGGCTCACAGTCCTGAGTGTCCATGTGTGACTGCAGACCTCAACAACACACCACGCTCAGGAGAAAACCCAGCACATAAAGTAGTGCTCCCAATGAAACCAGCCAGCCTTTTTGTTGTCCTCTTGCCTTTTTACTCCCCCTCCTCCTCCGTTCCATTTCCTTTTCCTGTGTGCTTACATGGCAGCCCCTGTACATGTAAATCAGTAAATCAAACCATTTACAGAGCATTATTCTCTATGTTATCTCTGTTCTGCAAAACATTTCCTGCTTTCCTGTCTGCAGCTTTTCTCTAAGGTGCCCCTCAGCGCTCAGCCCCAGCACAGACGTGCTGGGGTCACCCAATGGGTGCCTGCCAGCTCTGTGACATCCTCCCCTAGCAGGGTACCAGATTCCTAAAGCCACCCACCTCGGGGGTTTGGTGCAGCTCTACAAGGTGGACTGCTGGGATCTTTGCCATGGAGAGCTGGCAGCAAGGGTCCCTGAGCACAGCAGGAGCTGATGCAATGTAAACACCAAAGCCCTTTGAATGCCTGCTGCATCAGCTGGGTCCAGCCTGGCTGCAGAGCAAACTGAAGGAGACTAAGGGGACAACAACAGTAGCAAAAAAAAAAAATATTTGGACTTACAGCAGAGTGTTTGAGTGAGATTTGGTTTATCTGAACTGCAAGTTTGTCCAAGGCACTTCGTGTATGTCAATTCTTTGTTCTTCAGCCACTCCGCTCCCTGGGGATTCAGAATGGGAGGACGAATTTTATTACTTTGCTTCCATGGTTGACACAGTTTTTGTATTAACCCCAGATTTAATATCCAAAAATATAAGAGTCCTGCAGCAGCACAGAGCTTTGGGTAGCCATATTAGTTGTTTGCACAAGATGCAAAACCAGATTGAACTTCTCTCTGATCTGTGATGGTTAAACCAATTTCAGGTCTTGGCCCAGCACTACTGATGGTTTGAGTTTGTAAAAAAAATTTGAAATGAGTATTCTTTGAACCGCACCCTTTTCCTCCCCATGCACTAACAACTGTAACCTTTCCACCCCTGTGGGTGTTAGAGTTTCTTAGTAAAAGGAAGGGTTTTCATAAGAAAAGAAAGCCAGACATACCTGTCACAAGGCAGCACATGTGGCGTGAGCAGCAGAGCTGAGCCTGTGGCACAGCATGGCGGGTACTGATGGGCGCCTGCTAACTCATTATATTTTCAGTTTACTTTTATTCTGACAGCCGGGGCTGAATGAAAAGACAAAGTGGATAGGCTGGGATGCTTGGGAACACACATGTTCAGAGATTGAATTCAAAGTTTGGAGCCAAATTCCCTGAGCTGCAGCAGCACACTCGCTGTCTCAGCTTTGGCCACACCACTGGCAGCAGGGTGTCCCAAAGAAGCTGTTAGATACAACCCCACCTTGTCCCAAGGACCCTAAGGTCCAGACTGGCACCTCTCCACTCTTACCACACAGAGGATGAAGTTGTTGCTCCAGAGAAGTCAGTGGTGTCAAATGTCTCTCAGAAGCTCCGTGTGACAACCAGCTGCACTCTGCCAGGGAGCTCCTAACAGGGACCATAATAATCCCAGTATGTGACAAGGTAGGACTGTCAAACATAAATAGAGCTTTTCTCTTCAGAGTGAGAGACCTTTCCTTGGTGAGGGCATAATCAGTCATATTCAGCTTAGTGGATTTCCACCCCTGAGGCACTCAGTACATCACTGCACCAGTGAAAAAGGAGACCAAATTTCTACACAGCACTCACAAAAACAGGCAAACTTAAAGCAGAAGGGCTTCCAACACAGACATGAAATGCAAGCATTTATGCAGCCTGACTAAGCAGCAGTCCTGCTTAGTGATCCTGCCCATCACATGTAGGAAAGCCACTGAAACAAAAATCTTAGCAACAGACAGCCCCATGTTTTTAATCTCCAGCAGTAGGACTGGAAGGCTTCTGCATTCCCTGCAGACTGCACACTATGGATTGGGCATGCATGGTCACACAGAAATCCATGTAAGCTCTGTGCTGGGCCCAGCTCAACTGTTTTGCCACTCAGCTGCCAGGGTGGCACGTGTATGCCCTCATGTGTAAGGGAAAGACTCTGCAGGTAGGCAGTGGCTGACAGGAAGCTGAGCTTTGGTTTTAGCAGTTTAACACATTCTGGTCTGAGGGATCCAACCTGTGGTTGATCCTGATATGGACTAAAAAAATCACCCTGGCCAGCTTTTGTCTCTGTCCCAGAGCAACAGCATCACAGCCACTGTAACAGACAACCCAAGTTTGAACCACAAGCTACTGAGATTCTTTGCTAGGCACAGTTTGTATCATACCAGTGCAGCAGGGGCACTCATACAGTGCTTCAGCCACAGCAGCACAGAGCAGAATTCACTGTTCAGTGCTTCTTAGCCCCTGGACACTGCTGAACTAGAGAGACTCTTGGGCACTTTCCTGCCTTGCTTATGATTAAGGAAGTCCCTTTTGCCATCCTGTATACACTGCACTCCCCAGACAAGTCTGCAGCTCTGTCCCCTTTCAGTGCACTGCCTGGTAACATGAGAAGAGACATTTGGCTGTTTCTTACTAAGACCTGTACTTCAAGACACTGTTTTCATTTCCTCACTTCCCATGCTGCAAATTTAAAGCCATATTCTATCATTTTTCAAGAAAAATGAACCTTGTTTACCTACAAAAAAGGTGCATGGCTGCACAAAATTTTCTTCCTGGGTAATCTTTTGCAATATATGACCACAGGGCTGTATTCAGTTGCAGGTGGAGGAAGGAGAGGCAGATGATCTGACATTTCCTCCATTTATAGGTTCTTGTTGGTCACAATCAGGAGAAGATAACATTAACACAGAGTATTTTCATACGCAGTGGGACAGAGAAATATCATACCTGCTTTTCTCTTGATAGTTTCTAAATGAAAGTTAGTTCATAGTTTCTCTATCATAGCTGTGAAAATTAAAAAAAAATAAAAATCTGTGTTATGTAGAACTGAGTTAAAACAAGGCTGGACCCTTTTCTCTATTGTTTGGGTAGTCACTGTACCTCAGTAGGAAAATGATGGAAAGTGCATTTAAGATATCACTATGCAGCTTACCTTGCTTGAACATGCTACCTTAAAGGCACCTAGCTAAATAGCACCCAGAAATTAAATGGCAGAAATAAATAGTCTCAAAATGCCCAATCGAAAATCATTTAGGTTAAAAGAAACATTTCCATTTACTTCAACTGGATTTGGCCAGGGAGTTTCTACACACTTCTTTAAAAGGTTCTTCATCTGATCTTTTTTTAATGACTAAGTACGATGTCAGTGCAATACAGCTCATACCAAAAATTTTATTGCTGTACTGCTTGTATTATCTCCACTGAAAACAGAGTAAACTTACTTGCAATGTTTGGTTTGGTTTTGCCACCCACAGAAGGTCTAGCTTGGTGTTCATCTCCAGTTACAGAAGATCTTGTGAAAATTTTTTGAAAGCATCTTCCAACATGTCGTCTTGTATCAGTCTTAATCTTTCAGGGGAACGGTTGTAGGTGATGTCAGTTGGGGCTGTACTGCTGAAAAAAGCGTGAAGAAGATAAATAGTAATAATTTTCAAGTCTGACTGGAAGATTCAAGATGTGTCATCTCTCATTTCCCTATGGAGGACCATGCAATTTTCAAAGTTTCATCATAAAATCTAGCTGGAAAATGCAAATGTGTCTCTGTCTATCCTAAACCAAACATTAGAGAGGAAACAATCAGGCTGTATTTGACCCCACAGCTGATTGCAGCCAAACGGGAACCTTGAACTGGTACATCACAAATACCACAAAGGAGCCCACTGGTCTCTGTGAAAACTCCAGCTCTTCAGGTCTGAGAGCACCCTGCTCTTTTCTATCCATATGTGTGAATGAAAGACAAATACAGAGACAAATCAGCTGTAGTCATCTCAGAAACATTATTCATTCATTGTGTTTTCCTTTGGGTTTGATTTCTACTCAGAAAAGGAACAACATGAAATCACATGTTTGAGGCAGTGCACAGACTAGTTCCAGCAATATGTCCAGTCAAGCTGAGCTGGTAAAGACAGAAATTTCACTTATTCTCCTCCACAGATAGAAACCAGCTTCAGCCTCTTTTTTCCCCAATTCCTTCTGGTTCCTGAGAATAAATTGCTCTTTACAGAAAGACCCATCCCTAGAAACCTTCTCCAGAGCAGAACCAAAGTAACTTTTTTACACCAGAATGAATGTACATACCAAGCATTTCTTTAATTTTCAGAAGAAATGTTTCAATACAGATACCAAAAGTAAATTCAGTTTTCTGCTTGCCTTAGGTTGCCACCTTGCAGTTCCTTCCTGTCCCACCTTAGCCCTCAGCAGTCTGCAAGTCCTGGCAGACCCTTGTGGGGTCCTGTAAGCACCTCACTGTAAGTGGAATTTGCAGGAGTTGATTGAGAAGTTGCCTGAAAACTTCATAAATCTGGTCATAACTGACTTTGACTGAGTGACACACAGCATCAGCAAAAGCACACAGAACAGGTGTCACAAACAAGGTCTAGCCTGGCAATGTAACATTGGGATCTTCTTCATCCTTCACACAAAGCCTGAACTAGGGCACTTGGTAAAGAGCATATGCTCCTTCTTATCAGTGTTCTTATCTATTACGGAACTCCTGTAACTGAATTCTTCTTCTAGAAGGTACTCTAACCACCATCAAATCTTTAGCATTCTCAGCCTTTTCTATCCTACCTGTCAACAAAATAGGCTTTCCCTCCTATCACCACTCCCTTTATCGGGCTCTGTTTCCCATTTACCAGCACGCAGCCAATTCACACATATTCAGGTCGCATATTCATGTGTCGCAGGCAGAGTGGGAATTACCTCCACGGTAGAAATGAGCACCTCCCGCAGGTGCCCTGCCCCTGAGCAGCCACAGGGCTCGGGCAGCTCATGGGTTGTCCCTCCGGGGCAGTGATTCAGGTGCACACTCAGAACAGGAGCCCAAACAAGAGTCTTGGCAGCCACCTCTGTACAAGTGACAGAATTTGAGAGCAAACTTTTTTTTTTTCCTTAAGGTTGCTTCTCCTGCTAGGTGCTCTGCTAGCAGTGGGCAGCCTCTGCTTTCTGTGCCCACCCAACTAAAAGTGCCACGCTTGGGGAGCCTGATGAAGTTGTGCCCACAGAACTTAGTTTAGCTCACCGCACTTAGGAGTGCACGAGGTTTCGTCAGCTCTTCCTGCAGCTCTGTCAGAGCAGCCACGGAGCACGGCACGAGCTGGAGCACTCCGTCGTCTCCTCTGCAAAAAAAGGGGAAAAAAAAAAAGGTACGTGTTCTATCTCTGAGTGGAGGCATTGCTTCTATTTAGCAGCATTTTCTTTGTTCTGTTTTGGTCATTGTTTCTCCATGCCGTGTTTCTCCATGCCGTGTGTTTGTGCTCAAGAAGTGCAGATTGTGTTGATGCCTCACCGTAGTCTAAATCTCCTTGTGATTGATGCAGTTGCTGAGTCTGTATTAATTAATTGCAGTTAATGCAGTCCTTCCTTCCTGTCTTCCTTATGAATTCCCTTTCCCATAAAAAACATATTTCTCTTAGAAATCAACTTTAGTTCCAGTCAGGGATAGACAATTATTAGGATTGAAGGATTTTGGCAGAATAGAGGTTGCTGTGAGCTTAGCTTTAGCTATCACTGCAGTGCATGAGCCATGAATACGGAATTATAATAGAAATATGAATGCTGGGTTCCTTTTCAGGAGAATTCATATCCAGCCTTTCCTCTCCTCCTTACTCTGCTGGAAAAGCAAGACAGTCATTTAATTGTCAAGTTTACCTGCTGGTCTATAAAGACTAATTGGATACGCTGCATTCCTTCTTTTCCTCCACCTTTTATTCACACAGCACTGCTGATCTCTGGCACTCAGGAATGTGGAGGCTAACTGAAGTTTAAATTAACTATTTTTTTTTTTTCCCCCAAAAAATATTTTCAGGGTTGACTACTTTGCAAAGACCAAAGAGCATCTGGGTTTATTTTAAACCTGTCCTTCTCATAATCCTGCTTAGATCTGCTGTTGCCTCTAAACCAGCAGCTCTTTAACTTCCAGTAATTTCATTGTAGAGAAGAGAGTTGTAGGGGGAAAAAAACAAACAAACAAAAACACAACAAAAAAACCCCACCAGCACTTATTCTGCTCATTAGTACAAAATGGTCAAGACTGATTTTCTTCTGAGATGTTTTCCAAAGTCCTCTACACATGACAATATATTTAAAGAAATTTAAAGTTTGAATTTGGCACCCTCTCTGTACAGATTTCTGCCTGAAAGTGCAGACAACTCTTTCAGTTTCTGCATTTCCCAAGCCTCTTAGAAGACACTGATCTTCCAGCACGGATTACACAAATAATTTTGCTGTCAAGTGTCAGGATGCTTTGGGAAATATCTACTAACTGGAATTTTTACATTAATAACTTCAGAGTAGACCCTAAGTGTGCCAACAAAGAATGAGATGCTCATTGTGGTAGATGTATAAAGAGCCAGAAGAGATCAGAGATGCGGATTCAGACAAAACACCACAGATTCAGCAGAAGTGAGTGGGCTCACAGAGACGTCAGAGGTGCATGCAAAGAGGAATCTTTGAGCGTCACAGTTTTTGTTGGTATCACTGAAGTCTTCAAGGGGAAAGCCCTGCTACTAGTATGGGAGTAGGTAGCTACAGGAGGTGACCCAGATGTCAAAAGGGAAAATGGAAGTTCTCCAGTTAGTTGAGAGCAAATCAGAGGACAAAAAGGAACAAAGAAATTGTGTTTCATGGTAAATGGAGAAGGAGGAAATATTTGTGTCTAAGTTCAGAACACTGTTAAATACCACTTGCAGGCACTCTGTTAAAAATAGGATTGTTTAAAGAAGGCACTGTGGTTTTCACAAGGCTTTACAAATCCTACTTGCTGAGAGACATCCACTTTAGACAAAAATAAAACAATTTTCAGATGAAATTAGCTAGACAGTAACAGCCAGTATGCCAGTGAGCCCAAGACAGACCATTAAATTATTCTGGGCGATTCTTTGTTCTGTTTTTCCCCAGCAACATCTTTAGTACCGATGATGCCACCATAGCAGTTTCCACACAGACCCACAAGGACAGGGCCAAGACCCCTATCAGGGAGAGATAATCTACTGTCACAAGGTCAAAGTCAACACTATCTTTGCATTTTCTTACTCCTGACAAGGAGAAGCCATCCTATCTATTCTCACTCTGCAGCACAGTTAAGACATGCTGTGACTGGGGGATTTAAGAGGGATGAAAGAGCCTGTGATCCCTGTGACTGTAGTGACTGTAGTGACTGCAGTGAAGGTGTCAGTGCAGGAAGAGGAGAAGCTTGTGAATTTGGGAGTTTTATCAGATGTATTTGTTTATGAATAAATATTCTCTGCAAGTGTCATTGCCTGGTGGAACAGGACACTTGCCTCTGATCCAGCATCCTCTGACTTCCAGGAGCTTGAGCAACAGAAGAGGTATGATTTACTATTTGTGAATCTCCTGGGACAGCAGTGGTTGGAAAACCACTGCCTTGGGTCAGAGGGAGGAAAAGCAGCAGCAGGATGGTGAAAGGCAGGAATGAACTGTGGCAATACATTCAGGGAGAGACAGAGCAGGTGATGACAGGCTGCAGGAGGTGACCAGGTCAGTGGTGAAGGACAGAGCCTGGGCAGGGCTCAGTAGTGACAGGCCAACAGCACACAGGACCACACTGTGGTCAGACACAACCCTTGAGCATTAATAAAAACAAACCAAGACATGGGAAACACCTCTAACAGTGTGCCAGCATAGCCAGACTTCCTCGCCTTGTTAAAGCAGGCTGTTCCCTGATATCCCAGCCTGTTCTCCAACATCCCAGCATGCTCTTTTGGGAATCCAGAGCAGTATCCATCCACTTGAAAGCCCTTAGTGCCAAATCTGCTGACACTTGGTTGTGCTTCAGCATCCTTGAGCACCCTGATGCAGGAGAGAGGAATAGGAATCACCACTCTCATCCTCTTCTTCTGAAACTTTGTAGCTCCAGCACACACTAGTAGGAAAGTTTGGTCAGCTGGGTTTCCAAATGAGCCACTTCTTTAAAAAAAGCTATATACAATTAATCCCTAATGTCAAGGCCACCAGTTAAGCTGCAAGAGCTTTAGGGAGTCATGGAGCTCGAGTGCCTGATGGTTTCAGGTATGAAAAGGGTGTGAAGCAGAGCCACTCTCAGTTGCTCACTTTCACTGCTGCTGCTCCAGCACCTACACTTTCCTTAGTCTTTTGACTTGACAGGCTTTATAGTTTAGCCTCAAATTTATGACAGCTTTTCTGGGCTTCCTGATGCTTCTCCTGGCCATGGAGCTATTCCTCTGGCTCTGGGATCTTTTCCACACAAGCTGGTAGGTACTGGGGAGTAAATCTGGCCTGAAATAGCTGCACTCAGATGATCTCAGGATGGACAGAGAAACTTTGCTAGGTCCAAGGTCCCAAAATCCTGACTCATAGCCTTTAAATCATGAGACCAGAGAAAAAACAAAAAATGTCCCCTGGTATGGGTGGATTTTGGGGTCTATTTTTAACCTATGAACTTCCCCTACCTACAATGTATGAGATTTAAGCAGTTTTACCTGCTTTTATATATGTTGTATAATGTGGTCTTAAACCCAGTATCAGGATCTTTTGTCAGCATATTTCTTTCCCACCCACCAGACATTCTTCTCTCCTGTGCAGTCTCTCTCCAGGTAACATGGCTCTAGGGCACCAAGATTAGGGAGGATCACTTTTTAACACTGGGCCTTTTTCAAACCTGAATTATGACAGTTCCCCTTAGTAATACCACAGCTGCTCATTTTAGGAAATTAGCACATTTTGTACTATTGTGGGATTTCTAGATTGTGGAAAGGGGGAAGTGGATGTATGGATTTATGTAAAAACCTGCACTTAGGTATTTAAAAATCTAAAGTCATTGAGAGTTCACATCTATGAACAGTGTTATCTTGAGGTTAATCAAGTATCCTTCCCTTATCAGGAAAGATTGCTGAGCTCCTCCCCTCCTGAAAGACAATTGATTAATAACATCTCTCTTCTACCAAATATCTTCTTTGTAATTATATTTATTATCATTATTTTAATATATTTATGAGATTGCTTATATCTGCATTATTTCTCATATCTGCAATATGAAATTAAATGTAAAGGCTGTATAACTAATCCCAGGGTTTTGCTGCTTTCAGCCTACAAATGCCCCATAACTTGTTTTAACCAGCACTAGGCAAGAGAGGGGGTACCTGCTTCACCAGTGGAAGAAAGATATTTTGGGATAGAGTTGTGCTCAGGCTGGATTCCCAGAATAGCTTTAAAACACTCTTTTTTCTAAACAGAGTTTTGAAACTATATAGTGCCAAGATTATATATTCATATATTATGTTCAAATTTGAAACTATGTTGCTTGAAAATACATGGTTTGTGTTCAAATTTCAAATTACATAGCTTCAAATTCCTACTGTGTTGTGTGTGTCAGTAAAAATGATTGGTCTGGTGGGTAACCAAGTGGAGCCATGGCTGTTTCTCCTTTTTAAGCTGAGATTTGCTTATAGGAGTGATTTACTCTACTAATTTGTTTATTAATAATAGAAAAAAAAAATAAATAAAGCAGTTCACTGACTTGCTGGGCAAATGGGCCATGATCTGTTTCTGTTCAAAGACACCATAAATGTTTTTCCTTCTTTCAAGAACAGCAGAGCAAATAATCCACAGCAATTTCTTACTTTCAAGTTAAGAGACACAAAAAGTTTATCAGTTGATAAATTACAGGCAGGCAGTGTAAGTTCTGCATGAGAAGGAGAAGCCCAGGTTCAGATGCTGGAGGAGTGACATTGCTGGTGTTGAGCATTGTAGGTGGCATAAATGTCACATCTGGGAACTGATGTTTTTCAGTGTTAGATTTGAGTGTCCAACCGACATCCTGCTGGAACCTTTGTGTCAAATCCTTCCAGCACCATGTTCTACCAAGGAAAGCACACAAGATCCCTCAGGAGAAACTCAGGTCCCCTTTCAGGCTGATTTATGCTTTAAGACACACAGGTGTTTTTCCTCTACAGAGACTGGGGACAGGAAGGAAAGTGTGAAAGGAAAGTTTGTTTAATTTTAACCACCATAGCAGTTATTTTAAACTGTTCCAAATATCCACATAAATGCCTCAAAATTTTCAGCTCTAACAATAATCCCTGGAAGAGATGGATGATGAGAAAAATATTGGAAAATAAAAAATACATGAATTAATGCTTTGCTCATGTAATTGTATTCATATAATGGATTTCACCGTATCCTTTTTTTTCTTCTGTCCCTGTGTATCTCAGGTGAGTTATTCCAAAGACTTTCAACCAGTCTCTGTCCAATTATTGTGCTTTTTTTTGACTTATCCTTCTCTTCCTTGTAGCCATATCTGTAATTTTCTCTTTTAACTTTTTCTAATAGTGGTTATTTTTATCACTCCAACTTCTTCTTTGGAAATTTAAACAGTTTCACGTGAGCAGTTCATACACAAATAACAAAAAAAAATAGACAAAGTAAAGCCTTTTGCTTTCCTGCTTGTTTTCACTTCCCTTTATTACACTTCAGTGTTACTGAAAACATTTTTCTTGAGACAAGATTAATGCAACTGGCTCAAATGAGCAGCAGGAGCCACTGCATTTTGGGAGTATGAAACATAATTACCTAATTGTCTAACAGTGTGCACGTAACACAAGAACATTAGAAATGGGATAGTATAAATACAGAGCATGCATGCAGCAAATCTTAGCAGATTACCCCATCTCCCAGTGATTTATGCTCAGGTGCTTCATGATCTCTCTGTTCTGGAATATGAGATGTTTTGCACATCTTGAAGATGAGAAACGTGCACTTGATAACTGTGGTTGGTTTCATGCAGTGACTCTCCCAGGGCAAGAAGTCTTGGAGTGCTGACAAAAATACACTGAGCTGTTGATGCAAAACACAGCCAGTACCTGCTGTAACACCTAGTTATGGTTGGTGAGACCTAGCAGATCAGGATAGGCCACAAAAAGATGGAAACAGCTACTTTGGAGAAGCTTTGCTCAACTGAACAATACAGGGCAGCAAAGATAACTCACTAGAATAGTTTGTATCTCACAAATGTGTTCTTGGATATTGCTAATCCTTGTCATCATTGCTATGTTCAACCCTTTATAAATGCTTGAAAATTGCTGAGTGTGATAACTCTTGAGTTCTGGTGTTCAAAGCAAAACTGATAATTAGAAAATGGTGTATAGTTTTTCTCATCTATATAATTATTACTGTTTTTCATTTGAATTAATATTTGAGATGCAGGTTAGCCTCAACATCCCAGAAAAAGACAGAACTGGGAATCTTCTGGGCTGAGCCAAGCATCAAACTATTAAACCCTAAAGGTATGAAAAGAAGGTATAGATGTGCTTTCAATTGAAGAGGGGTGTAGAGGTACAGAGAAGTTGACTTTAGTCACAGGGTGGATTGTGGTGTTACTTCCCTTTAAGGGTGTGTCAACACAAGGGAAAATGTCACCAGAAGAGATATTTCATAAATTGTCTGCTGACTGCTGCTTTGTGATCTTTGAGATCTTGAGTTTAGGGGGAAACCTCTCTGCAGGCCTGGAGAACTGAAGGAGGCAAGTGAAGTTCTGAACAGGGGGTGGATGTAGTGGCCAGCGGAAGAAGACTCTTCCTTGGACAGGGCTGAGAGCCTGGAGAAGGCAAGGAGTGGAGCAAATGGGTGGCCTCCTCTCCTCCTTCCTTATACTGGGCTGGGATTTAGAGCATTCCTGCTGGGATGGATACAGGCTGACAGGCCAAAGCTTCAGGACAGTCCTTCAGCACTTGATTTTTCTTGTGGAGTGTAAGTCTGTACCTATGGCTGCACTTTGGCAGCTGACAGCCATTTACAGGTGACTGTCTCTTCAGCTCAGCCCCAGCGCTGTGGCTTAGTCCATATACCAAACACATGGAAAAATGCCTGCTCCAGACAGGTAGCTTAGAAAGTCACATCTCTTTCCTGAGGCTTCCTCATGGGTGCTGTGCATGGGAAGGAGACTTGGAGCAAAAGTGAGAGGGGCCAAGGCAAGACAAACATTGGGAGCCATGTGTCCACAGGACTCTTCTACTGTTCCTGCCCTGCACCATCACTGACAGCTCTGGAGGAAGCTGTACAGAAGGGAGACTATTCAGATAAGCACAGGCTCAAGAGAAGTCTGTAAAGCCAGGAGGAGGGGAGAGAGTACTCTCAACCACTTCTGCAGGTGTTTGTATTGAGGTGTGTGGGGTAGACAAGCTGATGAGTAACTGAGGTGGTGTGTGATTTGTGCCATGCCCCTGTCCTAGATGTCACCATCTGCCTATGAACTGTATTCACCTGTTGTGCTTTACTGCAGAAGGGGAGGTCTCCAAGACCCTCTGTGGTGTGCAGGTGTACAGCAGCTCTCACCACCAGGCGTGTCTGAGTCAAGCACAAGCTCTGTATGTCAGCTCACAGATGAGGCCTGGGCAGAGAACCACTGCTGACTCAGAAATCAAGCACCCTTTTTATCCTCCCTACACAGCAGCTTGGTAGATGGACCAGAAGAGACCCCCTCCTCCTCTGCCAAAGGTGACAAATGTTCAGAGGCAGCAAAAAACTCATCACCACCAGCCCTTATTGCAACCACCATGTTTTGTAAGTTAGCACCAGCTCAACCACCCTCTGGGTTAAGAACATTTTTCTAATATCAACCTAAACCTCCCGACACCACTTCAGGCCATTCCCTCTGGCCCTTTCACTGGTCTGGGTACTGTCCCATCTTTTCCACACAGCAGTGAGGATTCTTTTCTCCAGTCATTCCAAAGATGAGACAATACTGAACCCAGCATTTTTATTTTTTTTTTTCAAATATGTCTAAGCTGCTCTACAACTTCATATTCACCTGCCTTACTTTTGTAGGCTGATCACCATGTGAGATTTTGGATGCAGGTGATACATGGCATGAGGAATGATGATGGTTTTAGCATTTATGGTATGATTTTAGAATGGGAACTGACAAAAAGGAAATGGATTATTTTTATGTCCAGGGACAGAACTTCAGATCCCCCTTGAGAGAGCTTCCACACAGCCACCAGAATCCAGTCCAACTCTCAGAGGTGCAGGCATATGACCCTGTCTTTCTCAGTTCATGTCTGAGGAGGCAGTTTTCAAACATCCCCCATCCCACTTGCTCCACTGACATGTCAAATTGGCACCTATGGGACCATAATCTTTACTGACACATTTTTAAGTGATTCAATGCTAACTTTCCACCTTTTCTTCTGATTCTCAGGAATTACCAGCTGGAAAAAGAATAATGGAACGTTGTCTAGATGAAAATTGTAACTCCACTTGCCCAGATATTCCCTACGAAGAGAGTCAGACACTTCTGGTTGCTGTTTACAGCATTGTTTTTGCTATAGGCCTTCCAGCAAATTGCTTAACTTCTCTGCTTACATTTGTACAAATCCAAAGGAATAAAGTGGTTGCCATCTACATTTTCAGTTTATCATTGTGTGAGCTGATGTATTTAAGCACCTTGCCTTTCTGGATTATCTATGTGAAAAATGGACACAAGTGGACCATGAGTGACACTGCTTGCAGAGTAACAGGATTCATCTTTTTCTGCAATATCTACATCAGCATTCTACTTTTGTGCTGCATCTCTCTGGATCGTTACGTGGCACTGGTGTATTCTCTGGAATCAAGAGGGAGAAGAGGACAGAAAAAGGCCATCATAATAGTCTGTTTTCTCTTTGCTGTGGTTGCAGTAATCCACACTCCAGTATTTTATATGGAAGATAAGCAAAAATGTACAGATATGAAAACCTGCTTTGAGACAGTGCCCCTTAACATTTTATTGGCTTCTTTCAGCTTTGCTAGATTCCTATTTGGATTTGCCATACCCTTCACAATCCTCATTTTTACAAACTACAAAATTTTCCAAACTACAAAAAGAAGCAGCAGTTTGACTTGTCGCCAGAAAGCCAAAGTGAAGTATGTGGCTATTGCCATTATTGTTATTTTCTTGATCTGCTTTGCTCCATACCATGTGGTGCTCATAATAAGAGCCATATACTTTATGTTTCATCAGGACTGCCCATGTCCATTTGAAAATAAGATATATTCAGTTTTTACAGTGTTTCTGTGTTTAGGCACTGCAAACGGTGTTGCTGATCCAATCATCTATGTTCTGGTCAGCGAAAATGTCAGAGAAGACTGTTATAGGAGCCTGAGAAGATGGAGATGGAACTCATCCAAGCTGAATTCATCCACTGATCACAATACTGACAGCAGGAAATTGGAAACGCCAAAAGAATCAGAGGAAGGGGGGCAAAGAAAAGAAAACAAAGAAATAAAAGATTCATCCAACATTCAGAAGGCCTGTACTAGTGGCAGAGACCAGGAAAGCGGCACCTAGCTGGTAGATGCTGGAACAGATAAGAAGTTCCCAATGCCAGCTGAAGGACACAAGTTTTTACATGCTGACATCATCTTGTGTGTCCTGCATGGGCCATTAACTCCTTGAGGACACTATGGGAGCAGTAATTCACATTTCTGTTTGTCTCCCACAATAAACTTTGCCCACCAGTATCATTGGTGAAAATACTGCTTTGCGAAGGATATGTAGAATAAACTAAGTAATTTACATTGACTCAAATTGGGATCTTAAAAGCTTATTTTTTTTGACTGACTCTTTCTCATGTGAAATAAAACCAAAATTTTAAAAAGCACTGCTGAGGAAGACAATGTACCATTCTTATGATTGAAATTTTTGCTTCTTGAGGAGGTACATGTTCAGGTTCTCATACATGTGCTCTGCTGTTAACATTTGTGGTTAACCAGTGGAAAATATTAAAAATGAGTAAGTTGTTCAACAAGAGCCTTGAACATTTTCCTCGTATACCAGTATGTGGCTTCAGGTACATCACACATTCCAGGAGAATTAGAGGAAAAAATAAGTGGCCTGATAATACAGACCAACAGTACTGCTGCTGCATTAGACAAGATCCTGCACTACCCTGAAATTCTTAAAATGTACAATTCTAATGCTTGGTAGTTTACAATTAGTAAATTTTACTTGTTTTGCAGGCAGATCTAGAATGCACTGAAATATACAGAAAATGTATACGTTTCCAAGTGGAGTCAGAGACTGCTTTTATGCCGTCTACAAACATTTGTTGAACTCATGTTTAGTTTCTGACTAAGCTAACCCTTCCCTTTTGTTATTGACCCCACTTTTACTGTGTAGGAGCCTGTAGCAGGTATGGGTAGACTCACAGGTGGTATGGAAGGCCGGCAGTCTGGAGAGCACAGTCCTTCCCCCCCACAGCTGGGAACTCCCTCAGATATCCTGGGACAAATTTCGTTGTTGCTGCTGCCACTTCTGTTATTAATAACTTATTGATAGTAGTGCTTTGTGCCTTCAAACAAGAATTTAAAAGATAAGAATGATACAAATCTGGCAGTGTTCATCTAAACAACTTCATCTTTTTATGTGATTAAACAGACACATCATGAATCAGTTTGAGTACGAGTTTGTAGAATGTTTCATAGCATCATTCCATTTAATCTGTGGTGTTGTATTTCTGTGACATGTTGAAATTGTTATTGATGTTGACGTTTCTGCATTGAATTAATATTAATATAACTGCAATACTTTTTATTATCTTAAAATTGCCATAGGTATTTCTGTATATTATATTTTATTCTTATATATTCTTACAATTTTGTAAAGAACCATTATGCCAAAATTATATATCCTCAATTTATTATATTTATTGTGTATTTCATTTTTTAATTATTTAATGACTCTGGTATTTATCTGTGAAATTGTTTTGTCCTCAAAAGTAGTCCACATAATATTAAATTGGAGGTTGTTTCTTGGAAAAATGTGAAATTCTGTGGTGATGCTAATTAAAAAATTCTGGATTTCTATTTTTATATGTATCTCAGAGATCAAATTCTCTAAGGTATCAAGGAGAAACCTGAAAAGTGCTGAGTATCTATAACTTTCCATTGCTAAAAGGATTCTGCAGCAGCAGAACACAGCTCATGACAGCCCCTGCCAGCCAGAGTACTGGTGACTCATTTCTGAAGACACACATGCAAACTGCCCCAACCTCAGGATTTTCATAGTCTGAAAGCAAACTTTAATGAATAGCAGTGAATTTAGAAGGAACAGGAGGTACAGGCTTCTGAACTGATTGACATGGATGTAAGTTAGCCACTTACCTCAATGAATTTAAACTTCTCTGACAATGTTCCTCCGATAAAAAGTGAGTGTCAAGGGAGGGGATTGTCCTGCTGTGTGCTGAGCTGGTGTGGCCTCACCTCAAGTCCTGTGTGCAGTTTTAGGAGCCACAATATAAAAGAGATATTAAGCTATTAGAGAACAGCCAAAGAAGGGCCAAGAGGATGGTGAAAGCTCTGGAGGGGAGGATATGAGGAGTGTCTGAGATCACTTGGTCTGTTCATCCTGGAGACTGAGGGGAGATCTCATCATGGTTTACAACTTCCTCATGTCAATGAGGGAATCAAGGAAGCAGGCACTGGTCTCTTCTCTCTGGTGACAGTGACAGGACCTGAGGGATGTCCTGAAGCCAAGTCAGAGGAGACTTAGGTCAGATGTTAGAAAAAGGTTCTTCACCTGGAGGGTGGTTGGGCACTGGGACAGGCACCCCAGGGAAGTGGTCACAATGCCAACCCTGAGGGAGTTCAAGAAGCATTTGGACAATGCTCTCAGGTATGTGATGTGATTCTTAGGTGTCCTGTGCAGAGTCAGGACTAGGACTTGATGATACTTGTAGGTCCCTTCCAATTCAGGATATTCTACAATTCTGTGAACCCATTGGAACCCAGTGCCATAGATGCAGGGGCCAGGGATTATCAGGGTCTGACACAACAGCTGCAGTTCCTCTGCCTTACTAAAGCTGCATGCTGTTCTAAATTACTACGTCATTATGCATCTACTCTTAATGAAAATCCTTGGAGTTTCTTTGTTCCAACACACTCTGAAACAAAAGCTTTAGAAATGACAAAGACTTGTGCAGCCTGATCTGATTTAAAAATGTACGTAGATAATCTCCAGAGCTGCTTTCCAAACTAAAATACTCTGTGATAGATTACTGAAGAGGTTAGGGAGCTGGTACCAAGCAATGTATCCACATGGGAAAATTACAAATGCTGACTTCTTTGGATAAACAGAAAAGCAGCTTCATGGCTGAGTGAGGGCATCACGGAACATTCCATATTGTTAAAATATCTCATCAGATAAAGTGACTGTTTCTTGTCTGATAATTCAAGCACATAATCTATTTTTTGTCAGACAGTATCTGACTGCACCACTCAGGCAAAGGACAGATCTCAGCACTGGCACAAGTGAGACAAACAGCAAAGAGCACTTCTCAGTTCAGAGTAGATCTGAGGGGTGGATTGCTTGTGTGGGTCTTTCCACCTTTTCCTCCTGCAGAGACAGCACCAGTGAGCCCACAGGGACTGCTTCATGCTGTGAAGAAAGGTTCACCTGCTACATCACATCTGCAGTTCTCAACACAGCCATTTGGATCTGTACCCATTTGGATCTGGCTCCCAACTTCCCCAGTTGAGCCCAAGCTATAGGATGCATTGGAGAGAATACAGAACCAAACCTAGGCTGTGCCTCCCGATTTGGTCTTTAGATGGCCAGGTCTCCACACATAAGGCTCAGAGCAGGTAAGCTGCTCACTAGTGTAAGGGGGTGGGATTAGAAAATGTCACTCTTTTATACTCAGCATTTACTCAGGTATAACTTCCATGATTTGACTAAAAGAAGAGTGGGCTACTGTATAAATAAGACATTGTTTTATTTTTACATGTGTCTCAGACATAATGTGCCTAGGAGATAAGCTCATTGCTGATTATTTTAAGTATGACTATAAAACACAAAGTGAATAATTCCTAGCTATGAACTAGACCTGGCCAGACTAGTTTTTGCAGACAATATATGTGATTTGTTTGCTTATTCATCAATTTTAAGTTATATCTGAAGACTGCAATTTTTTAAAGTAAATGTCTAAGGTAACTCACTTATAAAACTCTATTCCTAAGAAATTATTTCATGTCTGTATTAAATTTTGCAGCAAGAGTATTACTACAATTTTGCTACAAAGCTGGCAAAACCCCATAGGAATGAACTCAGACTCTCTACTTGTGAAAAGTTTCTTCTGCAGTTGGTGACCTTGTGACTGCTCTCACATACAATCTAATGTCAAATTTCTGTTGGGTAGTGAGTGATGAAATCTAACTCAGAACCAGGCTTTCAGAAACATCCACAACCTAATGGCTTTTCTTAGTGAGGATATTGTAATTCTGCAGCTCACACTGTGGGACAGGTCTTCTAGGAGATTTCCTCTCTACAGTGAAATGATGCCAAAGTTCCCTAACGGTTTGGAATGTCCCTCTTATTTTCAAACCAGCATAAACTAACAGGAGCAAATAAAACTGGGGGGGGACTGCATCAGAGAGAGGCAGTAATTTTTTAATCTTTTTGGCATGCAGGGATGCATACAGGTGCTGGCATCCCCAGAGTTGGATCTCCCAAGCATGCCTTCTGCAACTGGACCTAGAGGATGTGATACCAGTCCTCTCCATCTCTTCCAGTGCCTGCAGGAAGTGGGTGGTTTGCATGGCTTTACTCTCCCTCTTTCCCTGCAAAATACATCTTTGCACAGGAGAGGACACTTCTATTTGCAACAGGGATGCAGCATGGCCTCATGATTCAAAGTGACAAGAATGTGAAGCACAAAAAGAGAAATGTTATCCCAAACTGGACTAATACTAATACCCTGGTAATAGGTGTTAGTAGCTGCCATCATGAGCTGTTGGTAAGAATGGGTAGGGCTCTGAACTCATTACGTCTAATCTGTAATTCAGGTCACTGATAACTTTTAGGACTTTACTCTCTTACTCCATCCTGTAAGAAATGCTTAGAGATAAGGAAGCAAAAAGCAACCTTTCAGACAGAAAGTCTGCTGAGGAGATATGATAAGACATGTGGTAAAAATTTTACAAAACATCACATGAATATTGTCTAAAACAGCAACCTCTCACTGCACCATGAAATGATCCATCCTGTTTGGTAGTCTCCATCGATGACAGGGCCTGTGTATTTCAGCTCATGATCACAGAGCATCCCTCTATGTTCAAAGGTCTGTCTTGAAATATTTTCTTGAGGGCAATGAAGAATCAAAGAGAAGAGAGATACTGTGGGAAAAGGATGTTGTATGATATATAAAGTCCTGAAAAACCTTGTAAACCTTCAGTCACAGATGTTCTGAACAAATATGCAAATATCCATGTTCAGAAAGCTACTTAGTAATGCAGCAGCCTGTATCACAGTTCCCCATCTGTAAAATGTGACATTTCTCCCCTTGAGCATTGTCTGGCTCCTCACTTTAACATACAAGCCCTTGTAAAAGATACTAGAAAGCATGAGCAGGTGTGTCTATGCAAATTGAGAGCTTATTGCAAGGGAGCAGTAAACAGCATGGAGGCAAATATGAGATATTCAAGCACAAATTCTAATTAGTCAGCACCTTTAGGGTCAGACTCAAAGTACTTTATTTGCTTCTATTTATGCTGGGGCATCAGAATAAAAAAATATGCAGACTTTCATTTTAACTTTGTGTCTTCTTCTGGTAACATGGGCATTAGACCCTTGGGGATTTTGCTGGGATTTTCATCACTGTGATATTCTGGTGTTTGGAGGTATCTTGTTTTTTTCAAAAGGGTGATACTGATCTGCAGAGTTGATTTCCAGACTGGAAACACTCAGGGCCAAGCACTCACAAGGCTCATAGTACCTCTCTGGGTACAGGACTGAAGACATCAGTAGCACTATTACACTGCTGTACACAGGAGGCCACCAGAAATAATCTCTAAAATCCCTAGTTCTTGAAGATCTATCCATGTGGACTCTGCCTCTCAAGTTCTTCCCTTCCTGACACTACCTTCATCAGTTGAGAAGTACTTTCTTACCATCAGTTTTCAGAGATAAGTCTCTGATAGTGTGAGTCTGATACACTTGAGACAACAGCACTATTACTTATTGATTTGATTATTTGGGGGCTGGGGAGCCAAATATATCAATTGCCTTTCTTAAAATAGTCAAGAAAACAAGGGTCATACTACCCACTACAGGTAGTTTTTATTCTTGTATGTTTGACATTTATAGGTGATGAGGCAATGTGTTTTATACAAGACATTTGATAAGGTATAAAAAATTCTATAATTTTCCATTTAGCTGCATGTATTGTTTCTAGTGGTCTCTTAATTCTTTTGTTCAAATCCTTCATAAAATAAGGCTCTCAGTGGAATGGTGTATCACTGCATCGCTGGCAGGTACAGCTGTGTCCCAAAGGGGACAAATGCTCAAGTTTCACACTAAACTCAGGACTGGATGGAGTGATATGGAAAAGGGAAGAAAAATGTACATTAAACAGCAAGGGAACTCAGGAGTATCACAAATTTCTTGCTGTCTTGACTTGTGGAAATGGCCCACCAGCAAAAGTTAGAAGATTCTAGACAGGCCAAGAACAAATATGAAGTTTCATCAGAAAAAAAAGAAGAGGACAAATGAGGATCTTCCTCTGTACACAGTGGTTTGAAGCAGGTACAGACAGACTGTAAATCAGAAATGGTTTGATGGTAAATTAAAGGTCAGAGGGCCACTTCAGTTTACACAAAATCAGAATTCAGAGATGTGTGTTATTTTATAAGTCAGCATGGGGTTTTCCCTAATGAGACACTGAGTGGACTCTTCTTGCTTTGT